AACAAATATTAATTAATTCTAAAAAAAATAAATTTGTTAAAGAAACGTTTAGCTATACGTTTTTTAATTTTTCAGAGCCCATTTTATTTTTAAAACTTGAATCGTTGCTTTTGGTGCTCATATGTCACTTTTCAGGAGAGCAAAAAAATATATTTTATTTACCTTAAATTCAATAAAATGATAACCGTGTTATCGATTATTCGATTATAGCGTTATCTATTGCCTTATCATAAATCTGAGTACACCTCACAATAAAACAGTGCAGCCTACTAGATTTGGCCAAAAAATGATACATTAGGTTTTGCATCTGAAATTTTTGAAAAACCAACTAGCTATATTATATGTTATTATGTGGGGTTGTCCTGTAATTTGGGATCAGTGGAATTTCAACGACTTCATCAGCTAAATAGGCTATACATAATTTTAGATACTAATTGAATAGATTATTTGTTAGAACGTGTTTAGCCCAAATAGTGAAACTTTTACTTAAACTTATTTAATTTTTGCTAATACCAATTAAACAAACAACATGGTTTTAATTGAACGAATCTGACCTTTTTCATAAACATTTTTTTGTTTATGATCATTTCAACATTTGTTATTGATCTACTTAACCCGTTTCATAATATTAAAATAACTACTAAATCATAAATAAAATTGTATGAAACAGGGTAATAAGGTAAAAGATACTTTACCATTGTATTTTACTTTTGAACATATTTTTATAAATATTAAAAAATCGTTAATAGGAATAATAATGTAATTTTATCTTTTTTTCAAAGCTCTATTAACTTTTAAAATTTAAGTGATAACATATATATTATATTATATTTAGTTAACTTTTTTTAGATTAATTTGTTAATTCAAAGAATAATTTTCTGATATTTTAACAGGTCGATAACCAGTTTTGAAAGATTACTCTTAAAGTTACAAAATTTACTAAAGTTTAGGATTTAGGAAGTGGGGTGCGGTGGAACGATGTGCGTTGATAACAATACTACACTACGCCTATCTTCTCACCCTTAAAAGATAAATAATCCCTTAAAAAAGATAACAGAATATTCTAGGATCAAATAATCTTAGTTAAAAGCTTTCATTCCAATATTTTGAGTGACATAACAATAACGCAATAGGTTTTTCCGGCAAATGTCGTAGAATATTTGATTTTTTATTTAGATGATTATTTTTATTAGAACTGAGTTGTATCAAAATATTAAGACTCGACATTCTTGGCGACCTATATGACCAAAATAAAAAACTACATTCCTAAGGTTGTGATATTGTCCAAAGAGAGATATTGAGTGTCTTCGAACAGATCACCCTGTACGTGTTATGTGCTCACAATACAAATGGTTGAGAGGATAAGGGGTGAAATAAAATAAGGAAACAAACCGAGAACGCAGTAGACTTTCCAAGGGCACATTTGTTTCAAGCGGGTGTGACAATATCGGTCGATTCAATTTGTACGCGGTGACTTAAACGGTGGGCAAGAGGGAGGGGGTGCGGTAAATAATAAATCACGGTTATATTATCTGTTTACGGTTTTGCCGAGGGGGGGGGGGAGGGTGTGGAGAGACCGGAAGGGCGTAAGGGTTTTAAAAATGCAATAAAAAACAAGTCCGCCGGTTAACAGTTAGCGCGAGAACAACTATATATCGGGTGTATATTATATTTTATAATAATAATAATAATATATAATATAAGTATTATCGCAGGGCTGGATGGTCGGAGGTGGCCGAAACGGGGAGGTGGTTGGAAAGCGCCCACACACACACACACAGGATAACACCAAGGGGTAAACCGTTGCAGGCGCGCGCGATGGCGATGAGACGGCGTTTGGTGGCAATTTTTAAAAGGGTGTGGAAAGACACAGATAAGAAACACTGTGTATAAGGTTTTAACATAATAGAGAGAATAATGCCAGCAGACCGGAGAATATCATAAGCCGGCCCACTATCTTTTCTTTTCATTTCCGCCATTTTGCCCTACCCCCTCCGACGTTGTTATTATTTCGCTTCTTATGTTTCTCACATTCCGGCGGTCGACCCTTCTATCTCTCGACCCTCTTCTATATTCTATACTTAGGTACGTACACTTACCCCATATATATATATGTATATATGTATTTGTATATTTTTGTCCCTTCCGCCGCCCTCTCTCGCTATAAGACGTACAATATCATTGTAATATACTTTGCTCGACTATTAAAAATAAAACCACAGCGCCGTCTCCGCGGTCGCCGATAACAACGACCGCGATGCCATTGTATAATATAATATAAGAAAAATAAATTATACAAAATGAAAGGAATAATAATAGTGGCGTAAACCGTTAAATTGTCTGCTATTTGTCTTGACGGTGTTATTTTTTTTCCAACAATATGAAAATTGCATTATTTCCGTGTGGTAAATGTAGGTAGATTGCAAAAGTTGTGCAGGAAATATAATATAAGTATAGAATCACTTTCAAATAAACGCTTCGATGTGAATTATAAACACTGTACCTCACTTTCATACTTTCTTACTGTGCTGGTTTGTACTGCTCCTGTTTCACACAATTTTATTTATGATTAAGTAGGTATTTTAATATTACGAAACGGGTTAAGTAGATCAATAACAAATGTTCAAATGATCATTAACAAAATATGTTTATGAAAATAGTCAGATTCGTTCAATTGAAGCCCCGTTTTTTGTTTAATTGGTATTCGCAAAATTAAATAAGTTTAAGTAAAAGTTTCGTTATTTGGGCTAAACACGTTCTAACAAATAATCTATTCAATTAGTATCTAAAATTATGTATAGCCTATTTAGCTGATGAAGTCGTTGAAATTCCACTAATCCCAAATTACAGGACCACCCCACATAATAACATATAATATAGCTAGTTGGTTTTTCAAAAATTTCAGATGCAAAACCTAATGTATCATTTTTTGGCCAAATCTAGTAGGCTGCACTGTTTTATTGTGAGGTGTACTCAGATTTATGATAAGGCAATAGATAACGCTATAATCGAATAATCGATAACACGGTTATCATTTTATTGAATTTAAGGTAAATAAAATATATTTTTTTGCTCTCCTGAAAAGTGACATATGAGCACCAAAAGCAACGATTCAAGTTTTAAAAATAAAATGGGCTCTAAAAAATAAAAAAACGTATAGCTAAACGTTTCTTTAATATATTAATTTTTTGTCAGAAATAAACAATATATCTTAGCTATGTCACTGTCTTAAATTTTAATTTACTGTTATATTTTATTAAATTATAGGTTTAAATATTTTATATAATAACTATATAAAGCGGTCTTTATATTTTTTTGCTAAAATTATGCCAACACAGATAATAAAGAAAAAATATCGTTGATATCTTTCAAACACTAAGTTATTCCTGCCAAAAGTTTAAGATAGCCTGTTATGTGTGATAAGGTCCATTTAGGTATCTTTAAAATCGTAAATCGCGACTTTTTCAATAATTCTCCGTGAACCGATAATTTAATTAATTTGAATTTGTGATTTAATACATTGTAAAGTATGTTATGACACTAATGTTTACATGAAAGACTAGTAATGGTATGTTCGTTTTTAATAAATTTTTTTGTGTTTTGTTTTATCGTGTTCGAAGAAATAAACAGAAAATTAATAATTAGTAGATACTAAATATTATAGATTTGTAAGTTATTTGCTTTTCAAATTTGTTTTCCACAATACATTTTAATTTAAAAAAAAAAAATGTTTTTTACTTTAATTGGGTTGACATATTTAAACTTAGGTTAAATAAACTTTAAATAAAACAAAAATCGAACGTTTTTGGAAAAATTACAGTCAAAACATACTGTTTTCAGTTTTCTTTAGTAAATGAAAACTGTGTGTATAATAATAATAGAATGATATTATATTGTCGAGGCGATGAAAAAAAAAAATATATAATAAACGAAATGCCCCAGGTCGTGGTTCACCACCTTAACCCTATTGGACTCCACACACATTCTCACACAATCCAAATAATAACTTGTGGCGGTGACAGCAATGCTTGCTGATTATTCGATTTGTCGCCAGCCAGTGATCCACGAGACGTTATTATATAATGACTTGGCGAGTCTGTATAATATTGTATAAAAAAAATAGCAATAATAATATGTATGTGTATGTGCTTTTGCAACGACCCCAGCGGTGCTCGTAATTGCATTTTCGAGTAAAATTGAAATTAGTCGGCCTTTATACGGTTGAACACCTTTTCGGTTAAAATTACCATTACCTGTGCTCTGCATATTATGCAATATCAAACAATTTTTTTACCACTTCCGTTTACTTGCTTTAATTATTTTTTCAAGCTTGTGTTTCGCCACGCGAACCGCTTTGGTTAATTATTATACAGGAATATTTTTTTAAATCGAATTTTAACTGAAATTGCTTATTCATCAACTGTCCTCGTACCGGACACTGATCCGTTTAACTTAAGAGTTGCAAAGTGTTTTTTTACAAAATGTTTTAAAACACATACAATCATTGTATAGAAATCCCCTCAAGTCCTTCCTATACTGTCCGCAGTGTAGTTAAGACTTAAAACTAAAAAATGTGCCCAAGAGTTTGCATCTTTAATATTTATTAGTACTCGTACCAACATACCATTAAAGAAATACAAAATGTGTATTAAATATAAAAAAATATGCATAAAAAGGAAATAAAAAACCACACATTTGTAAAATATGCAACTGTCTATTCTGAAACACAACTGAAATGCTAAATAACAAGGATTCGACAAATTTAAATATATTTTGCATTAAAGCAGCTGGGCGAATGTTTTAGCTTATTGGTATTGAAATATTGTAATCTATTGTTATTAATAAAAATATAATATATACGTAATAAATTATTATGCAATGAATCTTAACTCAATCTATATAAGCAAGAAGCAACAAAACGATAGATCAAGATCGATAAGTCGATTAGTAAACTTTTTGTAGTTATCGTTTTTGAAAATTCCCTGGAAATATAACACAAATTGCAAACTAAAGACACACAAACAGGTGCACCGCCTCACCTTGCGTGTAAGTTTATTGGTTGTAAAATATTAAAAAAAAAAAAAATTACACACTTTGTAAAACATAAGTATCTTCGCCAAAAATCCAAAACCGATTGTAAGCCCATTCGCGATTTTCGTTTTCTCAATTTTCTGACTCGATCAAGCCAGTGTTGCCTTTTGAGTGCTTATGATGAAGTCCTGTTGTTTACGCTTGCCGGTGAACACCTCGTGTCTAAAATGAATACAATGCAAACAAATACAAATACACCATTCGAAGCGAATCTGTAGATGGTAGAAATATTAAATAAGTCATAGTTAAGTTGGAATATTTGCACACTATTTGGATGCTTTCTCAATTTTCTCGTGGAAGAGGCGGACCTTTTAAATGTTTACCCAAATAAATACCTTTCAGGTACGATTTCTGATATAAAGATTAACTCTGCGTTCCTAAATCGGTTCAGCGGATTAGAATAGATGTCGTGGGTCCAGAAAAAAAAATAATAGCCACGCATCGAAGCTAAAATATAGTTAAACCGCAACCATACAACACAATCAAATGTAGAATACTCACATTTGCTGATATTTAGCCAATTCCTTTTTGTTCAAAGACGGTTTGGTCTGCGCCAATGCACAACGAAAATGTTCAGCAGTAATTTTAACATTCTGAAAAAAAACAGTTAAATATATATATATATTTAAATACATCAGCGACACTTTTGATTTATAAAACAATACTTGATAAGAATTTAAATTTGAAAAAACATGTACAGTGAGATTGGAATTTAAACCCAAACCCCAATTTTTCGTTTTTAGAAAATATGTCAACTTTATTCTGTTCTGATCGCCATCGAATAGTTTATCCTACTTGATAACCTATTTAGTTTCCATATTCAATTTGTATTACACGATTATAGTTAAGATAAACAAGATATACCTATTGAATAACATACACTTATTTAAAAAAGTCTTTGGACTTTGCTAGATTTTGGTCGACTTAAATTAAAAAAGTACGTCAAATTAAAACCACTAAGATAGCAAAAGCGATAATACAGATGTGTTTGAACAAAAAAAAAACTATGAGTTATTTATTTAGACATTTACCATTAAATAAACTGAATCGCTTTTTCATGAAAGGGAATAAGTGAAAAAATCCAAAAGTTTTAGTAAAGCACATTAGTCTTATAATTTAAATCGTTGACTTGTTCCTTTTGATGTACAAACATGTTCGTCTCACTCTACAAAATTGTTAAATTTTAGTTCCCAATCTAAGCGATTTTCTATTCTTAAAATATGTTTTTCATTTATTGTATTTTTCTAAAATCTATGCTACGAATTAATTTTTTAACAATTTTAAAGGTTTAGTTCATTTTTCTATAAAATTTTTATTAAGGAAATAATCCCTTTTTTTTAATCCAAACAGTTGTGTTTTCGATTAACAATTATTAATATGTAACTAAATACATTTCAGATATCTTAATCACAAAAAAAATAATGCCCGCATTATTAAAATAATACAAATATTAAAAATTTTTGCAAGTTGGTAACATGACTTTAGACCCAAGAGGTCTGCTGTTAATATTTATATCCAAATAAATTAGGACTTTTATTAAGCAATTTCAGCCATTTTTAAATATTTTTAGATCATTTTTAAGTCATGTTACAGGCTATAAATATAATTCATAAGTGTCTGCAAACAGTGTACACTATAAATAATTTTATAATTGATATTTCACCTAGATGAGAAAAAATGAATACAATAAAGGTAGAATATATTTTTCCTTTATCGAGTACATTTTTACAGTTTTTTTCAATAACTAGGTTATTATCCTATAAATAGTATAATATGTCTTATGTATAACCAAGTTTTACACAAGACAAAAAAGTAACACAAAGCTGCTCTTATGGCCGCTTACTATATATTATGAATATACCACTATATCGCTCGTTTATTATTATTAGCTGTTAACTCCTTCATAAGAGTTATTATTTAACCCTTTTATTGGCAATTCACAACCGAGCACTACTATACAATATAATAAACGGCGTTGAGGGTTATGTAATTTCCCGTCAAACGACTCGCAAAGGGGAACGACTCGCTAATTATTATTATTATTATAATAGTCTAAACGACGATAACGTATTGCGCTCGTTACCGACCCGAACAGTGGAGATAACAATAAATAATAATATACGAATTACTTCTGAGAAGTAATTATTAAGTTTACCCGCCAAAACGGTGGTTGATAGCGTGTCTTCTTTAAGCCGTGTGTCGACTTCCTACGAGATAAGTAAGAGCTGAAGATACAGAGAAGTGAAATGACAAAGAAAAGACAATTACTACAAAATTGTAATTATTTTCAGAAAAAATTAAGTATTTTGCGTTAAACGGAACAGCCCGTACACCGTTCATAAGAGCTAGAAAACTGGTAGGTAATAGGTATAGAAAAACAGATAGACAATCTACCATCGTTATTATTAAGTCACACTTTTGACTATAACTTTCAGTGGCCAAGATAAATAACTCCATAGTTGACCACTAGAGTGCGCTAAAAAAAATTAGCAATTATACTTACATACATTGTTTCAAATAACTTTAACTGCCTGTCCTGAAAACTTTGATTTTATAAAGTTAATCGGTTTGGCATCTGAGCGCCTCATTTGGTCGCCGGATTTCGATAAAAAAAAACAAACTATTCTTAGGATTTTCTTTTTAAACACGAACATGTGTTATGCGGGAGATGGGAAGAGTAAGATGGTTGACAGGACCGGGGAACCGGGATATTAGAGGAGAAGTACACGGTTGGAAAGGGGAATTTCAATAAATCAACCCGGAACGTCCCGTTTTTGTTGGTAAATTGCTTTTGCGCAAAAACAAATAATATCAAAGTGTGGACGACGATCGATAACTATATATAGTTATTAATATAGTATTTATTTTATTATATTATATTATTAATAATAATAATAATAATATTGTGTGTCGCCCGTGTGAAGAAACGAGGACCAATAGAGGGCAATAAAAATCAAAATTATCAGCAAACAAATGGTGCCCGGATCGAGTGTGGCTGTACACATTATCCGGACATAAAACAAATTGTCTAGCGCCCTTCGGCACCTCCCTTCCACCCCGTTTTAGGTGTACTTAAGGTTTGGGGGGCAGGTTTTGAGGGGTGGGGTTTGGGCAAACAGATAAAAATCCGAGATAACCACCGACGTGCGACCGACACGCGATGGGATTAACGCGATCGTCTCGCACAAGTCCGTCCCCTGTTGATCTTTATTTATCGTTGGAATTATATTATTGTTATTATTTGTCGTTTAAGTATCTTACTTATACTGCGTTAACAATGACCGTCGACAGTAAACAAAAAAAAACATTGCCAAAGTAATTTTTTTTTTTTCCCCGTAAGAAACGATTAAATGAAAAAAAAAAAAAAAAATACTCAACCCCAAGTGTCAACCCATCCGTAATTTTTATACAATATACGTTTTAAGGAAGCATACTTAAAAAAAAAAGAAAAATTGCCTGAACCCTCGATAATTTCTTAGCCGCTAAACATGATTTTTTCATGTGGCAGTTTTATAGAATTTGAAAATTAAAAAATTCACTCCTTTCCCTTCGAAATCCAGGAAAACACCCAAAAATCTGTACATTATAGTATATTTCAACTCAACATTATGTAGCGCCATAACTTTTTTTTTTAAATTACTCCTAAATTGGTATAAAATATTCTTTATACAATGTTAGCAACATACTTGATTTTTAAAAAAAATTTTTCAACATTTATTAAGTATACAGGCTCTATCTTTTGTACAAATACAAAATACATAATATGTTTATACTTCTAACAGGTAGAAACCTACTTTGTTCTTAAAAATACTTCGGTTTAAGTTTTCAAAAAACCATTTGAATTTTTTATAACTTCTACATGGTATCGATCGTGGATCAAGTTTAAAACTATTTTTAGTTAATTGATAATCTCTAAAAAATATATAGTAATTTTTAAAATATTTTAATAATTTTTACAATAATATTGAGAACGAAAATTAAAAATATGCTTCGAACTAGGTAGTATTGCAAAAATCTATATCCGTTAATGAAATATTATATCACTATCATTTTAAATGGAAAATAATGTACTAAAAAGGTTTTGGAAAACTATATTTGAAGTTATTGAAGTTTCAAGTTAAGAGCAGGAGGAAAGGGGAATGTAGTATTATTTTTATCTGCGTGCACTCCTCCTCCCATCCTTGCTTTTAAACTTATAACTTTAAAAATAATTTTTCAAAACTGGTTATCAGCCAGTCAAAATTGTTAGTACATTATTTTCAATTTAAAACGTTAATGAAATGTATGCGTTACCATTTAATTTCCAAAAGTTGCTATCAAAAAACTAAGTTGAGGGGGTAAAAACAAAAAATATTTTCAAAAATTTAGATTACATGGTATACAAACTATATACAATTTTAATTGCTGATAAGCATTAGTACTTATAAGTATTTTGTATTTGTACAAAAATAGAGCCTGTATACTTTATAAATGTTGAAAAAAAACTAAAATGTCATGATGTTGACAATACTTTTTATAATAAGAATATTTTATACCAATTTACGAGTAATTCTGAAAAAGTAATGGCCCTACATAATGTTGAGTTGAAATAAATTGTGTACATTTTTTTTGGCGTTTTCTGGATTTTGAAGAGGAATGGGGAATTTTTTAATTTTATATATCTATGAAATTGCCACATGAAGAAATCGGTTGTGAAAAATTTAGATCACATTGTAATCAAACTATATGAAAAAAACAATTTAATTTCTTGTTAAACCCTATTGATATATTGAGTGGTTCTCGATAAAATGACCACCCGTTTTATATATATATATATTTTTTTTTTTTAATTTCTAAATGTCATTAATAAATAATATTATAATTTAAAAATATTTTATTTACATTATTATAAAATGATAACTGATATGTAATCATGATTTTATTAAAAAATGTTTATTTGTTTTTAAATAATTCTTTTCTTCGACCCAACCCACAGCCATAAGACAATATTCATGTCAAAAGGACATACTATACTTAATGTAAAAATGTATACTTATGTAAAAAAAAATGATTTTATCCTTAACGAAACTGTTGAAAGTAAAATCAAATTTATTTTACTGGCTAATTATAATATCATTTGTTGTTTGTTAATTTGACCGCATCGATAACGACCGTTTCAACCCTGTTTTTCGAGTTTCAGGAAACATGAAATTTTCGACATGAAACGTTTGTGCAGGTTTAGACTGTGTAATGCGTTTTTTGGAAATTCCGTTCGGGCCAAGTCTGCCAACTTCGTTCGGGCCAAGTCTACCAACTGCGCGGTGACTTGTACACCGCCAGAGCAGCCCGCGTCGGCGATGGCGGCCGATTGCGAGTCAAGGTGCATCATGGACCACTACGTGTTACCGGACCCAAAGCTAGAGCCCAAAGTGGTGATCGTGGGCGGCGGTATGGCCGGGCTGTCGGCCGCCCAACGGTTGGCGCACAGCGGGTTCACCAAGTTCTCCTTGTACGAGGCTTACGACAGGCCCGGCGGCCGGATCAGGACGTGCTACATCGGCGACACGGTGGCCGAGCTGGGCGCCGAGGTGATCAACGGCGGATCGATCGCCAACCACTCGTACACTCTGGCCGCCATGGAGGGCCTGCTCGATCCCGCGGCCCGTGTGCCTTACGACCGGTTCAGCTGTTGGCATTTGACCGTCGACGGCCGTACCATCGACCCGGCGATTGTTTACGAAACGCTCGTCCGGTGAGTACTTGCCATTCTGGGGACAGGTCTGTGGAACGTTTGCTTGACCCCCGACCCCGACGGTTCCAGGTTCGACGAGATCAAGACACAGGCTTACGAACTGGCCCACTCGGACGACGCCGGCGATCACGGGACGCTGTCGGAGTACATGACCGAACGGATTATAGACGCGGTCAAGGACTACCCGCACGCTTACCGGGCCGATAGCGCGCGCATCATGGCCACCATGCTGAACGAGTTGCGCAACGAGGTGGGGGCCGACCTGGAGGCGGTGAGCGCCGACAAGTACGGCAGACGGGTGGCGATACCGCCGGACGACCGGCTGAGGGTGCCGGCGGGCCAGGTGCGGATGCTGGCGCCCGTGTTGCACGACGTACCGGCTTGCTGCATTAAATACTGCAAACCGGTGGAGCGCATCATTTGGTACGACAAAGATTCCGATAGCCGCGCGTCGGTGCAGCTGTGCGACGGCACGTCGGTGGACGCCGACTACGTGATCGTCACGCTGCCGCTGGGCGTGCTCAAGTGCAAGGCGGACACGATGTTCTGGCCGAAGCTGCCGGAGCGCAAGATAAAAGCCATCTCGTCCATCGGGTACGGCCACCGGGACAGGTATTTCCTGGAGTACACGAACCCGTTCTGGATGCAGTCGGAGGGCGAAATGCTGTTGACGCGGTCGCCGGACGAGACGAGGGACGCCGAGCACGCGTGGGTGACGCGGCTGGGCCGGTTCCGCGAGCTGCCGGGCACGCGGCACGTGCTCGAGTTCGAAGTGGCCGGCCAGGACGCCGCCTTCCTGGAGACGGCCGCGGACGTCCACATATCGGACGGCGTCACCGCCGAGTTCCGGCGGTTCTACCGCGACCCCACCATACCGGCGCCCTGCAACATCGTCCGTTCCAGGTGGTCGCTGGACCCGAACTTTTGCGGCGCTTACAGCTTTTACAAGCCGGAGACCACGCCGCGCGATTTCGCCGTGCTCGGCAAACCCGAACCCGACGGGACGGACCTGCCCGTGCTACTGTTCGCCGGCGAGGCGACCGACGGCGCCCACTACGGTACCACGCACGGCGCGAGGAAGTCGGGAATCCGGGAAGCCGAGAGGATAGTCCGCTACACCGACCAGCTGGGCGGGCCGCCGCCGAAAGAACGGTAGCTGCTGCCATTGTCCGTTTGTTTTGTTTGTTTATCTTAAAAAAAGTCATTATACTATTGTATTAGCTGTCTGTTTAACCAGAATGATGCATTTAAATAGAGTACAGAGTCCGCGGCGGACCGGCGACCTGTCCGCGCGGACAGTCCGCTTTCTGTTTGACCGATCCTTTAGGGTCATAAACTACATGTTGCCTCCGAATTGCCTATCCCAAGAATATCCAACTCCATTCTTACCTTTTAACCTTTAGCAACGTAAAAAGATATCATCCAAATCTGGTTATCGACCAGTCAAAATTCTCAGCAAATTATTCTTAACAAAATGGCTATTTTGAATTTTTTTGTAAAAATGTAACAAAAAAATTAAAAACATTATTTAAAAAAGTAAAATAGTTAAGTGCAATAAAAAACGTAGTGCTTATATCGCAATCAATTAATTTTAAAAAAATAATCTCAAAATTTTTAACTAAAACAAAGTTATTTAATTTGTTTAACGAAAAACCTACTTTAAACGTTTGTTTATCAAGACAAATATAATGCTTTTACCCTTTTAACTAGTTGGCATATTTTAAAAAACGGCTAAAATATGCCACAATATCAATTTTTGCTGAGAAGGTGCAGTTTTTTTTATATTTAATTTTTGTTTGTCTCTGAACATATCAGCACATACTCCAACATATTTTGGTACCGTATTAATATTAACTTTTAGTCCATTGAAAATGCGGACTTGGTTATAAACTAAGCAACACTTTATAATGGAAAAAAAAAACAGTTTTAAAATCGGTTTGACAGACACCAGTAGTTATGGTATTTATTTTTTATACAATTGAGCTCTTTGCGTTCCTCTTAAAATCGATCGCCCTGTATTATATAGACATTTCATCGTTCGGATTACACAATTTACTACACTAACAGTCGGCCTGGTGGAAGAATTACCATTGTACTGTCCCAGTCTGGATTTAAATATCCCACCTATCCGCAGGGCCAAAGACAACAAACCCCGGTCGCCCCGTTCACAGTGTATTATTATCGTTTTACATGTCTTCCCCTCGGTGTTGAAAATGTGTTTTGTAATTAAATTCTGTACAATTTGCCGCCGTCGCCGTCGTGTTTTCGACGAGAACCCTTAATGGTCTGTCGCTGTTTGCTCGGTACACACAAACCGATAAAAAAAAAAAAAATTAAACGAAATTCAATCAAGTAAACGGTCCGCGTCGATTGTAAGAGCCACCGACTCCACGGTCGAAACGATTTTGTAAACAGACATACTCCCTTTGTGTATTATAATACTGTCCGCCGAATCGACCGGCCGGTTTGGTGAACTCTCGAAGGGCTGTCGGTTTGTTTATTCATTTTTTAGTTGTAAAAGGGACAAACGAAGAGAGCTAAGAAGAAAACAATGTGCGCGTTAAAATCCGGTGAAAATCAATTGTTTAAAAATGTATATTCTTAACAATACATTACCAACACATCCCTTTTCAAGTTGGGCTACTAGGATATACTGACAAAAAATCCCTTTAACGAGTTAAGTAGTTTATAGAAATACAATATGATCATGAATGAAAAACAATAAAGCCAGGAAGATAGCGCAGCAGTTGTAAATGTGGATAGGGAATTTAAAAAACTAAACATATATTTTAATGTAGTCCGAAGATAATAAAAACCTGGCTAACACTACACACTTGGCCAGATTTTTTGTAGCTATTATTTTATCCAAATTAAACTAATTTGGATAAAATAATAGCTACAATACTAAACTAGTATTGTATTTTACAAGAGAATGAATGGAGTAGTAAGTATTGCTTTAAACGAATTACCATACATTATTTAGCAGAGTCTTCAGCTGCAATTGTTTGCATCCTTTCTGCCGTCGAAAAGCAATTCTTTTTTTTTTTAATAAGTAAGTAATGTTACAATATTATTTCTTATTATTATATAAAACACATAAAAAACAAATCACATTTAAACACACACTAACTTGGGGGTAATTTTTTTTGCTGAACGTGAATGTAAATGTATGCCACATATTAATCTATCACCTCTGGCTATTTTTTAAATCACCTCTCAAGTTGAAAAAAACATTGTTTTGTGATATTTTTAATGTGTTTTCTAAAATCTACTCCAAACAGTATTTTTTATTCTATTTTCTACTCGCTGAACTTGGGGAGTTGTCTCGAAATTATTTAACATACATTTTTTATACACACAAAAAAATAATGAGAAAATTCTTATTAAATTCTTAAGACTTATTTTTATAATATACCCTAAGAGATTGTAATACTGAGTTCCGACAATTTGATTTAAATTTGTTCATCATGTTAAAACTTAACGTTCCGTAGTTGTTTTTTATTGGTATTTTTTTATGGCAATTAAGATGGTTAAAGAGTACTTCTACTTTAATTGCCAGACTTGGTCGAGATTCTTAAACGGGAAGCGAATGATTTATCATTTTTATGTTTATCTTTATCTCATATTTAAAAATTTTACCTCTATAATAACGATAACATTTTTTTTTTTGGTTTACTTCTTGATAAACGTTACATTCAAATACAGTACTAGGTAAAAAAATGTATTAAAACTAAAAAAAAAAAAAAGTTAATTCTACTTACGTTTACGGGTAGTGAATCATGAAATTCTGAACCTGTAATCATAAAATTGTAATTTAATACTGTACATTTCTAAATAGAACAATTTTTTAAAAAAAATTAACTTAAAAAATCCAAACTTTTTAGTTTTTAAGAAAATATCTTTTTTTAGTACATACAACCCATGATAAGAATATTATGAACTTTATAAAAAATAATGGTTCTTTTTTACTAGGAAAATATTAGAATACACGACATAAACTATGAAGACATACTAATAAATATTGTTAAGTTCAAATCATGTAAACCATACAAAACATATATTTTTAAATGTAAAGTGACCCGTTGACGTTTAACTAATTAAATCTTTTTTTTAAGACATTCTCGTTAAACACTTTTGATCTTAGAAAAGAAATTTCATTAAAATTTAGTATTTCTATGTAACAAAATTAATTTAAGATTTTTATACAAAAACGTATAAAGCTCTGATAAACCAAAAAACAGCAATAATAGTTCAATATTATATGTAGTCTTAGCCAAACCGGAATAATCATATAAATCATAATCATTTATTGTTTGGAGTAATATTTCAATTAAATAATTTTTAGATATTATATTATATAATTTGATCGATTTCAATAATTTGTTATACCTAATGGTTTTTGTGCAGTGAATAAATACATGTTTATTCGGTTTTATATTTTTTAAACTAACCAGTTATCTCACCGACGATTCGACAACTTAAATTTATACTTTAGTTGAATTAATTAAAAACAGTAAAAATGTGTATAAGCCCTCATAAAAATCTCAAAACCACTACATTTTTAATTAAAAGTTTTTTCAAGTTTTAAATGACTTAACAAACCGTTTCAAAAGGTTTTATAAACAGTTTTACACCCATCATATTAACTAACTTTAAATTAGTTTTTTTTTCTTTACTTATTAGTTTTAAACTTGTTTTTTCTTTATAAATTATTTTTGAGGACTGTTTGAGTTGGAATGCACTTGACAAACCTGTTGAGCTATGAAATTCTTTTTCCGCTATCGACAGTGCAGTGTACAATAAGCCGTTCAGGTCAGCCCCCGTATAATCGACAGCTTCCGCTGCTACAGCGTTCAATTCGACATCGTCAGACAAAACCAGTTGTTTGCAAAACACCTTAAGAATATCTTCTCGTTCGTCCTGAAAATTGTTTAACAATGTATTCAATTTTGTTACATAAACAAAAAATAATAACGAAATTAAACTGTAAAGGAGATACGAATTGTTGAAAATAAAAAATGACGGTAAATATTAAATAAAATTGTTTGTCTGAAAAATAATAATAATCCAGTTAAAGGCACCCGACAATTATCAATAACATATTATTAGTGAAATTATTTAGAATAATATTATGTATTACAATGTCGGGAACGGCACAATTTAATTTCACTCCAATTCGACCCGGCCTTAACAGAGCAGAGTCGATGAGGTCCGGACGAGAAGTGGCGACCACGACCCATACGCCTTCGAACGTATCGATACCGTCCAACTGGGTCAGAAACTGGTTTACGACTCGATCAGTAACGCCAGTCTGGTCAGAGCCTCGTCTTAAATAACAAATAGAAAAATACATTAGTACAAGTTACAACGAAAACAATTCATAGTCATACAAACTATACAGACCTAGGCGCTACGCTTTCGAACTCATCAAAGAACAATACGCACGGTTTGGCGTTTTGAGCCCTAAAAATGGCAGAAATGTAGTAAATAAACAATTAATAATAAATAAATAAAAGTAACAATAAACAACAAATAAATAGAAGAACCTAAAAATCCCTAAAAATATCCCATTATGACCGATTGCCGATTTTCACAACATAACTCGCAGTAAAATAAGAGATTATTGCCAACCAATGCCGGACAAGAGTACCTAAACTGTACAACTGGAAAACATCTTAAATGCAGCTTACACGATTGTCGCTTTGTCTAAATTCTCAGTGTAAAATCTTAATAGTGTAAAATTCTTAATTGAGAAAATGTAAGCAGCTTTGATTATACGTAATTTCATAAGAGAGCCGCTAACACAGTTAATAATTTTAATGTAGTCTGAGCCGTACCGGGACAAGGTTATTTGAAATTATTTTTTTTTATTTAGAGCTTCGAGTAATATTTTAATTAAATACATTTTTGTTTGAACATACATGAAACCTATATTATTTTAATAATGTTTTTTTTTTTAATTGATTGTGTAATAACAATATTCTTTTGTATAAAATATAAAACAAAGTCAAAAAGTTTTGGTAGTAGTAGTCAAATAAATGTTTTTTTCGTTTTAATTATTTACCGTATAATGTTATTTCACCTTTTATTTAAATAACAAATAATAATTTGTTATTATAAGAGTTAAAAATTTAAAAGAACATAAAATCTTAGTCCAACTGTTTCGGTTTATGTAAGATAAATTTAGTTTGTATAAAGGCAAAATACACAAAATTGCCAGGAAAAACCTGGGAAGTGTTACTCAACTACTTTTTGAAAAATTTTGAATTTTGTTGTATTTTTTTGAGCTGAAAATGTTTTAAATTTCTATAAGTATATTCTGATGAAAATTAATTTTTTATTTAAAATAATTAAATTTAAAAAAAAAGGAAATAGGACCTTTAATATTTTATTCTTTGTTTCGGATTATTAAGTGAGGAAAATATTTGAAACACAAGACTTGTCACATTTTTACAAAGGGCTTGGGGCGATTATTTCAAAAACCATTGCAATAGTTCTAAATATATAGAATAATTTTAAAAAAGAAAAAAAGGTGTTTTATCTTTCATTTAAAGTGTTGCTTATCGAAAACAGTGTAAAAATGAATACCTTTGAAACACTTTTCTAACGTTCTCTTCGCTTTCCCCAACATATTTCGATAATATTTCCGGTCCCTGGAACAAATACATAAAAAAAAATTATTTTTTTTTATATTCTGCCTTCGGATGAAAAATAAAAATAAAAATTATAGCGTAACACTTGTCTTACGTTAACCGAAATGAAATTAAGACGACTCTCTCCGGCCACGGCTTTGGCCAATAAAGTTTTGCCCGTTCCAGGAGCGCCATATAGTAAAATACCGGATTGCAGCTTCAGCGGACACTGACTAAAGACATCAGAGTGCTAAAATGATTATAAAAAATAAAAGATATAAAACATAACACAATAATAATGGTTCTTAATATTGTGATTTGTGTGTGTACTTACTAAAGAAGGCCAAATTATTGTTTCGGTAATTTTCTGCTTGGCTTCTTTTAGTCCGCCCACCGTTGAAAAATTCAGCGTGTTCTCTTTGAGTAACTTTATATTGTGTAATGAAAGCGGAACAATTTCTTCGAAAACATTAGTTAAAACGGTTCGATTTAACGTCTTCTTGTTGCCTGCACGACATAATTTCAAAATTACATAAAAGTTTGAGTCATGTAAAGTCTGTACAAATATGATGTTATTTTTGTCTATATATTATGTCAGTAAACGTTACTTACCTTTTAGCATTTCAAACATTACTCTGTCGGAATAATCTAAAAGATCCTGAATGACGTAAGAATCCATTTTTTCGCAAAGTCGCAACATAAAATCTTCATCGACGTCGCTGTCTAGTAGTATTTTGTTTAAGCGTTTCGAAATAATAGTTTTACGACTTTGCTGTACAATGTTAAAAATACAAAATAAAAACAATACTATAAACGACTATTTAAAATTCTAATTGTATTTACTTCTATTTATTTAAATAAAAATAATTAGGGCTGAATTTGTGTTTTACCTTGTCGATCATTGGGATATTTATGACGGTTTTAAAAACGTTTTTGAACTCTTTAGAAAATAATTTTTCCTTTTCTTCGCTCATCGGCTTTGATGTGCAAATCACTCGTATGCATTGTTGACCGCCCGTGTAGGTTTCAATCATTTTCATTATTAAATGAAGTGGCCTGTGAATTTAAACGATAAGAATTACATTTATATATCTCTTTCATTTAAACCGCCATGTCCCCGAATTTGAGCTCTTAGTTTTTTGCAGGTTATTAATTATTGCTATTTTAGCTGAGAAGTGCTTGTTTTTTAAATTATGTGTTATTTATATATTTATTAATAAATTTACTATTTTTTCATAATGTATTCTTTTGAATCAACTGTGTATAAAAGTACCAATTTAGTTAAAACATTTCTTTTGTCATGGGTAGGTACTTAATACTATCAATCAACTAATTTCAGAAGGGATATTATAATTATTTTGGCGCTGGCAAGTGAATTTGTTCAAAACTGTATTAATGCATATTTAACTTTTAGACATTTCGGTTAAGTTGTTGACAAAATACAATTTTGAAAGTTAGAATTGGAATTTAGACCAATCTGCAGCAGGTTATGTCAGCAAAGATAATTTTTATTTTATTTCTGGCACATAATAATTAATTTATCTTTTGTATATCTCATCTATATAGCACCAATATAACAATAGAAATAGTCAGATAAGTTCCAGATTAGAACAAAAAACTTCCCTAGAAGCAGGGAAACTTTTCTTTAATTCAGTGTTTCTAACGTAGGTTTTAGACTTAAAAGTTTGAAAATTAGATTGAAGCAAGAACTAAAAGTTTGGATATAAAATATACAATTCCTATAACCTAGTTTTATAAAACAATATAAGATTATTCATTTGTATACATACAATTAAACAAACTAATTAAATTAAAATTAATTAATTAATTAATTTAAAACACTATTTTAAAACAGTGTTTTCTATCACATTACCTTAAGATTATTTTCGACATGTCAGCGTGTTCGTTCGGTTCAGAGTTCAAATGACACAAATCATCGAAATCGTCGATAACGATTACAGCTGGTTGATAATACAAACCGTCTTCAAAATAAACGGCCAACTGTTTGTAAACCGTATCCATAAGTTTTCCTAATAAGAAAAAAAAACAATAATAATTATAGTAAACGAAAAAGCTTTTGGGGAATCAAACAACTGTAATTATTGGCCGAAATAAACGTTAAATGACAAAATTTAGTTTTGATCCAATATGAAAAAAAAAACATAATATTTTAATTTTATTCAATCTTAGAGCTATTAAATCAGTACAAAACTGTCACCATTGGTCTAAAAATAAGCTAAAATAAAGAAAAAAATCAAAATAGTCTATTTATTATTTACAAGAGCTTTAACGACTATCGCTAAGCTTCCGAGAACTACGTTTAAAGTTTACAATTTCTCGCATACTTGTCGTCAACTTGTTTAAGTTAATAATAACTTTTGAACTGAACAAATTTTTTCATTTACCAAGTCTATAGATCAGAAATCGTACCTCAAAGGAACTTATAAGGTATTAACTATACACATTTTCTGTATTAGGTTATATTAAATAATGCTTTGTTAAGAGTAATATTCCATTAGGTACCTGAAATGTAATATCTTATTTAGAAAAGCTAACTTTCATAATTGGTATTCAATACAATACAATTTTGTAGAATATATAATTATATTAGATCGAAATTTGTTTTGTTTTAAGTTAAACCTTTTTTTTTTTTTAAATCACCTAATTTTTTGTCATTAACTCATAAAGACAATTATTTTTGTTTTTAAAAAAAAAAAAATAATAAACTTTATAAAAGTAATTTCCTATCTCATTTTCTACCCGTCCTACTTACATTTGTATTTTTCATATTGCTGTTAAGGTTAGAACTAATGAAATTAGATTAGTATAAATAAACATGCTTTACAAAAACTTAAAAAAATGTAAGTTTAAAATATTTGTAAACAACCATTACCGGCCAAAAAACGTCCATTCACCCAAATAATCTTAATGAAATACGGACACTTGGAAAGTTTACGGCAAAAGTATTTAGCAGCTGTCGTTTTTCCTGTTGCAACGGCACCTACGACAATATGACATTAATGTATTGGTACTTAAACATGCACACTTTATAACCCTTTACCAGTTATCAATAGATTGTCGGCAAAAAAAAAACTTTGCCGCAAGTTGACATGGCACTTTAGTCCGAGTTCTAAACATAAAGATCCGGTCGTTGTCATTTCATCGAAACACCTGTAAAACGATAACAAACATTTTTAAAACATACATTTTTAGTTCAAATCAAGAAATTAAAATTATGATGTTAAAAGAGAACTGAGAAAAAAAAAGATTACGTTTACACACTTTGAATTGTAAAATTCCTGAGACGGAGAAAATGTGATGATGTCGCTTTCAGTGTTTGGACCTTGGATCACTTGTTCGTCAGTTGGATTGTCCTCAACACAATTGTTCGTACAACTGAATTTCAACAGCTTGAAATTGTATTCGTTTACAAATACGTACGGTAAACTCGACGGACTGAACGACACGATTAAGTCCAAGTAATGAATTTTATTACCGACGATCCTCAATAACGAAGAATTGTTTAAAACCAAACATTTTTGCCGTTTTATTTCGTCGTTTAATCGTTTCAAAACGTTTTTCAACACATCATCTTTATTGAAATTTTTCTGGGAAAAAAAATTATATAAACAGGTGTTTTTTTTTTATTTTGTAAATTAAGATTAAAACGTTCGACGGACCTGTTGTTTCAACGGAACAATGGTAAAATTTTGAACGCTGCAAACGTCGTTTTCCAAGTCAACCGGTTCCAAAATAACTTTAGAGTTCATGTTCAACCTCAGCAGTTTACTTAGCGTTTTGGTAACGTAAGCAGTGGGCCAAGTGATAAGATTCATTTTTTCATAGTTGTTCATAGCTCTATCCAGAGGACACAAGCCTACCACTACGCTTTTTGTGCTTGTCGTCCGTTTGTTCTTAGAATCTTTCTCTTGCTTTTCGTTTAATTTTTCTAATACTGACATTTTAACAAAATGATTGCCAAACGAAAAACAATCGTTGGCGTCACTGTTAAACAGTTTTTCCACATGCAAATCAGCGATCAACACGGTATAATCGTAAATATGATCAGATTCCAACAGAGTGTTTTCTATGGGTATTGTTCGAAAAATACACCTTCGACGATCCTCAATCGGTTTAGCGGTATGAGTTGGAGTTGGATTTCGAGTCAGAGTTGGAGTCGGAGGTAGTGAAAAATGATGATTTTCATATTTCAGTTGTCTCGCAATATGTTCTTTATAGTCCACAGAGTCGTACAAGTATCTGGGCGTTATCACTATTTCAGTCGAGTCCATCAACAGTCCGACTTTCATATGACTTGAAACGGCATCTGAAAAACAAGTTTTTTTTTAAAAATCAGCTAGATTGAAACTGAAAAATCTCACAAACAGTAACACAATATTCTGCATTTCGACAAGAACAATTATGGCAAACATTATTTACCAACAAATATGTTCAAATGTACAAATTTTGAAACCCAAATTGGAATTATTTGATCTTTGAAGACGATTTGTAACTGTTGCAAAATGGCGTCTTGAAGTGGACTATTGTTCAGCAGCTAAAACACACGTTGTTGGTTTTTTTTTTAACACACACCAGATTTCATTTGCCATTGAATTGTTCTAATTTATAATCTGATCAAACAAACACTCACCAACAAGTCGAAATCTTCTTCCGTGACTGGCGAGACCCAGATCCGTTGCAAGTACGGGGCCTCATCGAATACCGCAATGGTAACGAGCTGTGATCTGCGCAGCTGTAACGCGGTAAGCATTTCGAAGCTCATGTTGAATGCGTCATCTCCGTTGGCGTTGCTCGGTGTCTGGCAGCAGGACATGTAGAAATGCCGTTCTTCATCTTGTCCGCTGTCAGTCGTCGTCACTTTCAGACACACCTAAAACGGTCGCATTGATGAAATACAAATGACTGATCCAATCGGACGTACCTGACCGTGAGAATAATAATGTTTACCGATTTTCTGTTGTTGGTACAAGCGTTGATGTCACGTATCAGACTAGACGCTAAGTGTACAAAACAGTCCTCCACCGGAATAACGCGCACGCTCAACACACGGCTGTCCATCGCCGATTTCGGTTCACAGCCAACGTAAATTGAATGTACTCACAGCTGTTGTTGTCGATGGAAAATTATAACTAAAAAACATGTTGTTGAATATTTTGTTAAACAAACCATATAAAAAAATTTTAAAAATGTTAAACCACAAAACTCGGTTGCTTATTCGAAAGGTTTCTCGTATACAAATATTATTTACAACGTTTCAAAACTAAATCGTATTAAACGGTTTTCCGGTGCGTTTTCTCGAGCAATTAAATAAGTTTAAAAATATTAATATGTAGTTCAATCATCATAAAAAGAGACGCCGCGGAAAAGTGACAATGTAGTTGTCAGTCTTATCAAAATTGTTGTTATCAACCGATCAATATAATATTTACCTCCGTGGCAGAACAAAAGCCAACACGTTATATTTTACCTCCTTATTAACATTTGGCGCTATTTCCAATTATTTCAAAATCATCCCAATCGGTAGAAAATGTCTGTATAATGTCTCACCAGGACTATATAGGCTATGGTTGCCAGATTTCAAAATTCTGGACTACAAAATTCTAACTACAACATTCAACGGCTATAAAACCAACTTTATTTTGGTGGGAGGTGTTTTGTTTTTTAAATGAAAATTTTATTTGTAAATTTTTATACAAAACTTTTAATATACATTTGAATAATTTCCCAACAGCATAGGTTAGTGACGTACTAAATATATATTACATTAAACAACAACTTTTTTACTTTCTTTTAGTTTTTTGCTAATTGCCAATAGAAACAAAGTTATGAATCATAAAACAAATATATTGCTCAACATTGCTTTTAACGTTTTTATTTCCATTTTATTGTATTCATCAGTTCATAAATTACACATACTATATGAGAATATTCTTTGAACATTGCATTTAAACCTGGTATGCACATTAAAAACCTGACTATTATTTAAAAATTGGAAAATCACCACCATCACTATTCTTCACTGATTTAAAAGTAAATGTCCATATTTCTGAATTTTAAAGGATTGAATTATTTCATTGTATTCCACACATTCTTTAATAATTGTGAATGCATCGAATAAATGTGCTCCATTAATTAAATAGTTATTTGGAATAATAGTTTTGACAAATTTAATCATATTATGACAAACCATAGTAATTGCTAAAAATTAGCTACATGGTCGCCTTGTGCGATACGTTCTTTAAATTTAATAGAGAAAGCTACTGCTGATTGTTCTTCGTCTGCTATTTATCTTAATTTATTATTTATTATCATTTTTTTTTACCGAGTTAACGCACCGTTGCAATGACCTTATAAAAATACAAAGACAAAATTGTGTGAGTTAATACACCAATAAGGTTTTTTACCACTCGTTGGATTTAACCAAAAACACGTCATGAAGTAAACAAACTATACAATACGATTGTACATTACATAATGTGTAAACTAAAAACAAGTATATTATATTGCATGTTTTGGATGGAAATTCTAGATCATTTTAACGCTATTATTAAAATCTTTTAAACTCATACATTACACCTTAATAACGCTGTTGTACCCGTCAAATCATTAAAGTTGTTCTTTTCAACGTATGAAAAAATAACGGCAAAATTATATACTTTAATTACATTAATTTACAAAAAAAAAAAATGCCAAGTAATGTTCACTGCAAAATTGTACATCATTAATGGCTTAATTATTTCATTTTTTATACTTAACCCTTCTTTATAAACAATCTATGTTAATAGATTAGTTGAAGAGGTTAGTCAATTGGCAGTGATTATTATTTAATATAGTTAAATGCTTTTTTTTAATACAAAAATAAACAATTAAGACAATAAATAATTATTTAGATTACATCTTTACTGCTTGAAAGAACTGAACAGTGAAAAACTGCCGAACAGCGTTAAGTCGTAGCCGAGTTAGTGCAAGTTGTTTAGGACTGCTTTGATCTTGTTTGCTTGATGCTCGGGTCTTAGTCCTTCAAGCAATAACAATCCAACCTGAAAAGTAAAAAAAACTTTTAAAACACAAAAACAGAAATATTCATTGGCAAAGCCATATTAAATTTAAATTAACTACATCAAATAAAATATAGAAACTAATTTTTTTTTCAAAACTCAAAAATTAACTCTCTCTTGTGAGTAAAAAACAATTATGAACTAAGTTAAGACCTTTTGTTTTTTATATGTGATAATTTAAAGCGTAGGCAGGCCCAATCATCTCCCCAAAAAATATATAAAATGGAAGTAGAATCAAAAGTTACTTTAGGAATTCAAATTTTTGACCAATCAATTGACCTAACCAATAGTAATAGTGATCAAAGTAGTAATGAATAATTTTTCAAATCAGAAATTATAAAATCCCCTAAATTAATTACTACAGGAAAAAATGACATAGGAAATGATTTTGTTACAAAGTAGTAGATAGTGATGCTAAGGAAAGGTCAGTTAAATCAATAGAAAAGAAAATAAGTTGTAGCGGGCGATGTCATATAATAGGGAATTCTCTCTTTTTATACTATAATGCAATATGCTCAGTTACTTGCTAATTTCTAGTTACTACTTTACAACCTGTTTTTATTTCACAATTTTTACTAGTTCCTTGTATATTTAATAAATTATCTAAATTAAATGCTTCAAATTCTTTTACCATGCTTTTTTCTAATAAATTTACAGTGTCCTGATTTAAATTTAATATTCGTAATTTCCTCTAAATCGACTTTATCATTTTTTGTATTCAAATTATTCACCGTTACTTTTAATACATAAATTATCTTTTTCACTTTTTTTACTTGATTTATTATTTCCACTTTTATTATTCAAATTTTCTTTTTCACTTTTATTATTAAAATTATTTTCTTCACCTTCAATATTCGACTTATTTTGTTCACTATTATTTGAATTATTTTCAATATTCACTTCAGTATTTTCTCTATGAATTACCTCAAACACAGGGTTTACAAAATCACAGGGAGTGGAGTCAGAGCTCACGTCGAAGGGTGACATAAAACATATTTTTTCACCAAATTACTTCACAATAGCACTTAAAACTACGAAAAAAATTTAATTACTCACAATAGAATTAGGTATACGATTGGCGACTTCGGCGACAGCAGCAAAAAATGTTTTCGATGGTGACTACAAACTGGACAATTGGACCGGTACTGGACTGAATAATTGCACCACCAAATTGAACCGCTACTGACAATTTATAATTGGACCGCTTACTGCTTACAGGACGTCAGCCACACAAAGAAACAGGAACGTTTTCAATAGGAGTTATCGAACCCAAAGGTGTGCACTTCCTTTGACTTCGAAAATGTGCCGCTACGGGTTACCTCCCACGACGATAATGAAAGTTGAAAAGTTAACTTCGGTGATGATACTATGACTGACTAAATCCAACTCCGCTAAGAGCTGCTATCGGGAATGCTTATATGCTGCTAGGGGGAGTTTCCCGGGATACGCCGACTTCGTGCATCATTCGGTAGGCGTATGTCGTTGTAATCAAATTTTATTAATTAAGCCCTATTTACAATTTACTGTTTGATAATGGTTACTGTGTTATTGTGAAAACATATATGTACGTTAATAATATATGTTTTCCAATGTACTGGGACTTAACTCTAATTAAGTTATTGTGTCAGGGTGGCGCTTTTAGTATTGTGGTTTAAACTCGGCGTCAGCCTGCCTTTTATGATTATACATTTTAAATTGTTCCTTTTAAATAAAGATAAATGATTATACAGAGTATACAGCACAGTAAAAGTCATATCTCACAACATAATGTTAACAGTCCTAAAAATTGTATCGTTAAATATAATTACAGGTCTAATTCTAGTTCGAGGGAAACTAAACGGAACTCTCAATGGCAGTAATGTTAATAAAAAAGATTATACGAATAAACGCTGTTGGATCTGCAATCGTTTTGGCCATGTATAGCCTTTGGATGTAAATCAAATATGAAAAATAATAATAATATGAGTTATCAAACTTTTTTTCACAATCAAACAACTATGTGTGATCTTTGTAATTATCTATTTATACTTTAACTTAACGATTGTTATTGCCAATTAATATTAATATTTAAATAATAAAAACTTAAGTTAGTTGGTATTAATAACTAATAAATACATTTAATTCGGAAAACATAATTACAAATTTAACTTTAAAATAAAATAAATAATTTGAATACACATGAATTATTTTGTTGTAATGTAACCATTTAGCTTTTAGACCATACTCATAATAATAATAATAATAATAAATGAATTGCCATGGTCGATCTTGTCAGGGAAAAGTCCTGCTCTTACCTAAAAGAAAACAAAAAGAGTATAATAAATTAAAAAGATATGTATAAATAAAAATAAATATGCAACTTATTTTACAAACTATCTTTACTATATAAGAAATACAGTAAGATGGGAAAAAAAAATGTATACATATTCAATTAAGTACGCCATTTCTGTTAGAGTTGCCAATGTGCCAATTTTATAATTTTGAGGTTTTGGTATCCATAGATACAGACAAAAATAAGCTATCATATGATAAAATTTCCAACGTGTTATCTCCATCGTAGAATAAATAAAAAATAAAACCAATTATGTATTACCTACTAAAATCGTTTTACACGTTTTAGTTTCTCCTGATTTTAGCACATGGGAGGTTTTTTCGCGGCAACGACGATATATTAAATATACTTTATATACTATATATTTAATTTCTTTTTTTTTTTAGGTTATTGATATTTACAACAACTCCCAAATTACTATCGATATTCGATTATTGACATTTGCCAACCACTCAAGAAAATAAGGATAACACTTAATGCGTCCTCGGGCATCAATACTAATGGTTTTAAAGACTATTTAAATTAACCTTTCTTTGCGTGCATATACTTTAGTTTTCAATTCATATTTAAGTGCAGAATCTATAAGTATGTATCTTAACAGTTATATTAATACGTCACTCAAGCCCTAATGATTTTAAATTACACTTATTACATATTAATATTGTTCTTAAATGACATCTATACATAATATAGATAATCTTATTGACCCTCTTCTAGAACGCGACTTTGTAAACTAGTTTTAAAATAATAAAGTAAAATGTAACGTACCTAAAAATGCAAATGAATTACTTTGTTTGAGACGTCAATTGTTCGGGTGTGTGTAGTAGCATCCTCAAGTCGACTGTGTCTTCTAACGAATCTAAAATACAAGTACATTATACCAACAATATTAAAACGATAGCAACGGAACTAATTTACAAATACTAGACATGGGTAATAATTTGTAATCACTATTTTAATTGGATTGTTATCGTAAACTATAATATAGCCTTATCACTGTTGTAATAATTTTCCGCTTCGGTTACTGATAAGGGATAAGGTAAAAAACAACACAGGTATGCCGGCGACTCGCGATGATCACGAAATGGCTGCCGTGCCGTAGTCGGGCGGCCTTGCGTTTCTGACGGGAGATAGCCGGCGGCCATTTCGTGAACACTACCACAATGCGAAACGAAGACTTACCTAGTTCCTCGACGTTATGCTGCCGGGTCGTCTCCGCAGTTATCATGGTAACCATGGTTGTGGTTACCAACCACCATCTAACGATTTACCTCCACCTACAGAATTCAAACCGTTTTAATTCTATCATATAAACAAACTAATAGATTAATAAGAATGCTACCTTCTGACTATTTTTCAACTAAAAGCTTTCAAATTGTACAACTGCTCCCCACCCTCCAAGGTACTAACTACATACAATTTTTGACTTATAGCGTAGCTACTCAAAGAAATTGGTCCAGTATTAAAAAAGTGACAGTGGATAATATAATATTACATTTTTTTAGGTACTTAAATTTTAAGAACAAAATAATTGTTAGAATTATTAATTTCTATAGATAAATTTATATACTACAAAAAATGTATAATATATACTATTGAATACCTATACTCTGAGCTTAATAAATAATGAAAAATAAATGTACTTAATAAAAATAGCATTCAAATTCTTCTTAATGTGTAATAACATATACTAAATGTTTAGATGATGCAAATCTGAGATAATATTGGTTTTACAATAGTGTGTTTTGTTTGGTCAATTATGTCTGTTTATATGTTTTTTCGTGTCAATTTACATGTCCTAATCAAAGATTAGATCAAAGATATACACGTATCTGTGATCTGTGAACATTAAAACATTTGCTCATCAACATAATCATTTCAATAATACAATTTTTAAAACCTGCTAAATAGTGATGTTAATTGCTGCAGTTTATAAGATTAGAAGGTATAAGATCAAGGTATAACTTTGTTAAAAATTCAGTTAATTCCGCAATTATTATAAAAAAAAACCCTTCTTTTACAAACCGGTAGAGGTACTCATATAAAAGAATCTCACATTCAAAGAGAGTTAGAACAATAGTATCTGACGAAGGTATTGGGTGTAAAGTTGATAGTGATGTAGTAACTACAAATCAGTTATAAAGTAAGTAAATATTTAATTATTAAAAAAAAAATTATTTAAGAAAGTCTGATAAGTTTTTAACTCGAACTTTATGGGTAAAACCACTAAGAGTTTTTATTCCAGAATAAATTACAACTATTGTTATTAATTTTGAGATATTTTGGTTTTCCAAAAGACCATTCTCCTTATCAAACTTGAATTTAGTTTTTATTTGAAAAAAATAATTAATTAAATGTTTTTGTGAATATCGAAAATAACTGGCTTTTAAATAGTAAAACAAAACGGGTTTAAATTATATCTAATATAATCTGGACAAATTATCCAAGACGACTAATAACTGTATTCTCTACTCTTATAAAATGTGTATTTTTGTATTGTAAACGTTTACAATAAAAACAATTTTGTTGATAATATTTGAATAATTTTTGTATAAATTAATTATTATAACAGTAATAAAAATGATAAAAGATGAGAGCTTCGCATGCACGGGCATTGTAACTAAGACGAGCAACCAATATGACAAGTAATTTCAAAAAAATATATTTTATTTAGAAGAAGACCGTGCACCATACTAAATTATTCCAAGAGTCTTAGCAAAACCTTAATTAATAACGTAAGTTATATTTTTATTATTAGAAAATCAAACAGCATGGGCGTTGTTAAATTGGAAGTCGATCTAGTCGAAAAAGATTATGATTTCAAATCTGAGATAGCAATAGAAGAAACCCAAGATTTAGCAGTTATAGAGAACGAAGATGTGGACCCTATGTCTTCTGGGTAGCTGATTTTTTTTGTCTTGTGACGATTATTTTTAGAAGTTAAATTTTTTTAAAATATATATATATATGTGTTTAGCAAGCACATTAGTATCAAGATAATGGGCTTGTTTATTAGATAAGTAAAACTTTTCTTTCTTATGGCTTTATTAGTTAAGAATACTGTCATATCACTTGTTTCAATTTTTTTGTCTTGGAGAACAAAGCGTCGATAACATTTAAATTGAAGCTAAAGAAGATAATGATTTTGATTTGTCTACTGGGTGAATCTTTTTTTATAATCCATTCTTTCGTACATTCAGCATTACTAATCTAGCAAATTTAGAATAATAAAACATTTAATTCAATAGCCACTTATATACATAGGGTCATTCTAAATTTAAATAAAATGTGGTAAAACCTAAACAAATTAAGTACTGTTAGTCAATGTTTTTTTTTTTATTTGGGTGGCATTTTACAATATAACACCGTAGAACAGTGGATTCAAGTTAGGTTCCTGTCAAAAAATATTACTTTTTTTGTATTTCATAGTTCAATGATTACAATAATATTTAAAATTCACTACTAAAATAAAAATAAAAATGTTGTTTTAGTGCTACAACCAGTACCGGAAAACACGACCGAACTTGTACTGGAGAAGAGCCATCTACACCAACGCAGGAAGAGTTGATAAAGCACAAGGAAAGAATATTTCAACGTCCATTTTGCTTAAGAACATGTGCACAATATGAAAAATATGATAACCTTTTTCAGTGTGATGTATGCTTCAAGACATTTTCACAATCTGGTAATCTTAAAAGACACATAAGGGCCCACACTGGCGAGAAGACTTTTCAGTGCGAAATATGCTTGGTAACCTTTTCACAGTCTGGAGATATTAAAAGGCACAAAAGGATACACACTGGTGAAAAGCCTTTTCAGTGTGATATATGCTTTAAGACATTTTTACAATCTGGTAATCTTAAAACACACAAAAGGATACACACAGGTGAAAAGCCTTTTCAGTGCGAAATATGCTTGGTGACCTTTTCACAGTTTAATGATCTTAAAAGGCACAAAAGGACACACACTGGCGAGAAGCCTTTTCAGTGTGACATATGTTTGGTGACCTTTGCACGATCTAGAAATCTTAAAAGGCACAAAATGATACACACTGGTGAAAGGCCTTTTCAGTGTGAAATGTGCCTTAGAACATTTGCTTTACTTGATAATCTTAAAAAACACACAAGGATCCACACTGGCGAGAAGACTTTTCAGTGCGAAATATGCTTGGTGTCCTTTTCGCAATCTGGACATCTTAAAAACCACAAACGTAAACACATTGGCGAGAAGACATGTAGTTGCTGATTGTGCTTGAAACATTTAGCCAATCGTAAAGTTTGAAAGTGTATTACTTGCTAAGTCACAATATATAAAAAGATAATTTAAATTTTGACCATTATTCGTTTCGTTTTTCTACTATCCTCATAGTACTATTTTTTTCAACGATGTCAGCAGTGGCCACGTATCATGTCAATTCGTGATGGCATGAAAATGATTTTTCGTAGTTTGTTATAACTTATATAAATGTAACTTTATTATTAATTACATATTTATTGTTAATTTTCATGCATGGTTTTCATTCAATATAATATAATATTGAATAAAAACCATTATCTAGATAATATTTCGTTGTTTAATCGTTTCAAAACGTTTTCCAACACATCATCGTCGTTGAAATTTTTTTAGGAAAAAAAATAATTTTTTTTTTGTAACTTAAGATTAAATGTTTGACGGACCGGTTTTTTCAACGGAACAATGGTAAATCTTTGAACGCTCCAAACGTCGTTTTTTCAGCTTTCTTCGCTGAAATTCAAGTTTCTCATGATTAAACAAAATTTTGTGAATTTTTCTAGATTTTTAAAATGACTTCAAGAGGTCTCGGATCAAATTGCCTCGGGTTGTATACATTCAAAACATTTCTGTAAAGGTGCATTTTTTTATTTGACAATCGAATGAATGTGAAAAATAAGGTGATCCGGAATTCCTAGAAGTCATTTTAAAAAATCTGAAAAAATTCATAACATTTTGTTTTATTATGAGAAACATAAATTTCGGTGAAAGAAGGCTGAAAAAAAATTTTTTTGGACCACTCTAATGTATACACAATACATTTATACAGAAATTGAAATGTTGTAAATTATTATAAAATAAAAGTAATATTGGTAGATCTTCTAAAACATTAACGAGTAAGACAGCTAGTTAAGTTGCCGTTAAGAGTTTTAAAAATGAATGATTAAAAAATAATTTTTACTATTTAACAAAAAAAAATTTGCAGACATTTGTATGTTTAAAAGACAAAAAACATCATATCTTACATTGTTTTAGCTACATAGCTGTACCAGTTGTTGGATATTAAATGACATTGTTAACATTTCCCCTAGTACAAAGTATTTTCTAATATAGCCATTTCACCTGAAACATATAGGTAAAACCATTATTTAGAACATGAAATTTAGGAAATTGTATTAGAATTTTTGTTCAATATAATAATAGGTACTTACTTATATAACATTTTTTTCAGGTTTTACAATCAATATAATCAATGGTCATAATATAAATGGCTTCATATTTTATGAATAACATTATTTTTGCATATTTTATACTTATAATTAATTCTACAATATTAAAAAAAAAAAAGTTGTTTCAATTGTTATGATTTTTGTTACATTTGTACTAGATTAATTCATAAAATGTAGATTTCTGTCTTTGCTCAACGACTTTGCTATTTTATTTTTGGCTGTATAATTTTTTTTCATTCAGCTTTAAATTTTGTTTGACATATATGCGCATTCGTTAATATGGTTGATATATATTTAATAATATTCCTCGACGGTATTGGCATGTCTATATATTTAATATACATACTACGACGGTAATGTCTGTAAGAAAAATTATTTTCCCAATTCCGTTGATTCTACTCAGAACTGTCAAACGAATTTCATATTTAATTTTGCTTCGAAATT